GTCATCAACTCCTCCATTCCTGCAAAGTGAGCAAACCCGGCTCGTCTGACATGTTGCTGTTGGTTTGATGACTTTCTATGATGTGGAGAGTGAAAAGCAGAGTGATTACTAACCAAAAACACCAGAGCGTGTGTTTCTATTTATGGTCGCAAACAATAAGCGTAGTTAGTGATCCCATTATACCAGAGGCAGAAGCGAAGTCTGAGGGAAAGGGACAAGTTGAATAAATCTGGGAATTTTGGAGTTGTTGAAGTCTTCCATTTAGTTCATGCACAGCCCTGCTGCAGTAATGGTTTCATTCCCGTGGTGTAAATGTAATGGTTCGATTTTTATAAACGCCGTGGTAACAGCATGTCAATCACAGGGTGGACATGTCCTAAAGCATGTCCTGCTTTATAGTCTATATGACTCTAAATGGTCTGTTGTTTGCTAAATGAGCATCATGTCGTATTGAAGACGTTTTAAACTACAAATTCAAACTCTTATTATCTCTTATTTATCTTTTATTGGACGTGATTAATTCCTGGTGTCCTCTGGCTCCCCACATTGTGAGTTAGTTGGGATTGCACTTTTTATTACTGTAACCAGTAGCTAAACATGTAATTAGCACTGTGTTTAGGTAGAGCTATTGGCAGAAAAGGAATTCAATACTTTAAATGGTGTTTTCAATAGTGTAGCATCACCTGAAAATAAGAATTGTGTTGTTTTTTTAGCCTAAAACGAGTCCTGCTTCTCTACATAGTGAGTGTCTGTCATGTTGCACCATCGTCTTTCGATAGAAGCCCAGGACAGACAAACCAAACGCTGGCTCTAGAGAGAGTTTTCCCCCACGTTCTTTACGTTACCTGAAGGCCACCGACAAGCTCATGAAACACCGGCCGCCTTTTAAATTCTTATTGCTCCTCATGCAGTCGAGCCAAAGGTCTGGAAAGATACCACGTCGTAACCACGTCTTTAACTCGGCAGCTCTTGTAACATCTTGTAACTTGGGAAGCGAGCCGGGTCTTCAGCTGCTTGCATCTGCAACCGCAGTGAGAGATGTCACAGTGCGGAGACGATGTCCTCTGTCATGGTGATTGTCAAGTAAGTAATAAGTAAGTAAGTAATACAAAGCACTTTGGTAACCAAAATAATCAAATCTCCCTGTGACTATATGGAAGTCAGGTCAAATATTTTTGTATTCTAACCCAAAGAAGAAGAGGTTTATTTCCTGTATTTTATGGGTTAGATTACGAAAATCCGTACCAGTGATGGATGTGCTCTCATTCTCATTCAGTGTGAAGGACGTTTCTGTCCTATTTTGTACTCCACGGTGTGTATTTGATAGGATGTGAATCAGAAGTAGACAGTAGTTAAGTCAGTTCATAAGGGATAATGTCCTATCTGACCTTGAGGACAGTGTGGTCTCTTTAGAGACAGGCGCGTTTGAAGTGCTGACTGAAGTCAAAGCTCATTAAAAGCAGTGGAAGACGCACGGCATCCCAGCATGTGGGAGGCAGATGTCGGTGGCCGCGACAAAACCAACATGTGCACTTGATATCAAAGGGAAGGGCTGTATTATCATACCGCGTTCTTATTTCATATCATTCTAACCCTTAAAACCGTATTAAATGCTGATCTTAAATGACTACTCTCAGTAACGTAACGTACAGGCTCGGCATCGTGCCTTGAGATCACTCCCACTATGAATTCCTTGTCGTCAGGACGAAGTCTGCCTCCCAATTCTCAACCTCGGAAGCCAAGTTTGGCCTCTATTGCATTTCCAGATGAGCTGGTGTGTCACAGATGAATAAGTTCCGATAATTTCCTCGGCCCGTTGCCAAAGAAAATTACAACCTTTCTCACGTGTGACGAGCTGCAGAAATCCCCAACGTGTTGGCGCAACGTCCCGCTTTAACTCCGCGCTCATAAATATGTTTTAAAATACTGCGCCGCCTCCACCGTGGGACGCATTTTTACAGTAGGAGGACAGGCAGCATTATTCCCGGAGGTTGACCCCAAGGAGCTGAGCCGGTATCGGGAACCTTCACCCAGGGCCTGTCCGTTAGCTCCAATCAAGCAGCTCATTTCTCAAGTGTCTTTACTCCAGTGGTTCTCAAACATCTTCTGTCGGGGCCCACTTTGGAGGAAGAAAAATGTTCGGGCCCCAACAAAAATGTAACAAAATGGTCCATCCAATTTTTATTGAAATAACAACATTTTGTGACTCCACGTGTGCTTTTATTAATAATAGAATAAAAGTCACTTTCATGTAAACCAGATTGCTCCATCAGACAAAAACAAATAAAATGTGCAACCACTTTGAGCAAGACACTGAAGCCCCAGTGCTTCACAGGAGCATCAACCATCAATGTTTTATATCACTGCACTCATCCGTCTGCTTTTACAGACTACAGCTTCACTGTTTTGCTCACTACTCAACCTCCTTTCCAGGAGCTGCATTTTCAACAAAAGGGTTTCGATGAACCAAATGAACAGAAACATTTCGACGATAGCAAGTAACCTGTGGACATGGAGGAGCGTTTAGTGGCTAAAGAGACAAATATTTCCCTCTGGAGTTGTTGGAGAGGAAAGCAGGCCAAGAGGAAAGAGTGAAACAAGACCACTCGAATACTAATGGTGCTCGATGCCTGTTGGGGGTGTGAAATCAATTGTTTGCAAATGTCAAATTGGTGTTTGTAGCGTGTTTGAAAGAAAGCCGTAGGTTTAAGAGGTGAAGCGTAAAAGGAGTGGAAGCCCCTTCCCTCTAATTCTGAGGTCCCGCAGCTCACATGACCCCTGAAACAAATTGGAAATGATTTGTTCCTCGCTGTGTGTCACTGTGTCACTGCCCTTGGTGGACAACCGTTCCCTGAAGGTTTACGCTCGTAGTTCACTGTCAGAAAAGGCCTCTGCCGACGCCTGTGTCTGATTCTGAATGTCTTGTGTTTGCTGGGAGAGGAAACATGTGTTTTTTGGCTGCGTGAGTTCAGTTTGCAAGAAAGAACTCTGCATTACGATGAGTTCCACCCAGCTGCATCTCATGGAACAAAACCACCAGGATTTACTTTGGGACTATCATCGTTTTCAGTGTTCAAAAGTTGACAGGCAACCGACTCGGTTCCGTCCTGACACGTGTAACCGTTTCCAGATGAAAGTGGTCTTTCGGGACGTTTTTCTAAAATCCTGTCATAATTCCACCGAATGCACGGCGATTCACCGCGCAAAAAAATAAGTGTGGATGTGAAGCAACTCCAAAGCCGCCGCCTCGTTCCCGTAGCGGCACGAGATTTATCTTTGCTTCCTCCTGGGGAGAGTTTTGTGGCAGGCAACAACTCAACAAAAACAAAACACATTGAGACAAACATGAGACAAATAGCAGTCACCGAGGACTGTTGGCGACACGGCCACGGATGACTTTCTCCTCCGGGTTTCCCTTTTCACCATAACTCCCCACAATAACAGCAGTTCTTCTCATAAGACACAGCGAGCGGTCATCTGTGGCCCTTCGGACGGGGTCATGGCTCCATCAAAACACATTAATGCACAAGATTTGTTAACGTGATATTGTATGGGTGGATTAAAAAAAGAACACAGCGGGTTTTGTTACCTAACATGGGAAGAGACGAGCGGTTTCTATGGCTACAGCGCAGGAAGTGTCAGGGAGAGAAGGACCTACTTGAGATACAGTGATTTGGACAGTTGGACCCTTAAAACCACTAAACTACAAAGGCACTGACATCCTAGTCCGTCGCCTCAGTAATGCCTACAAGAGCGTCCCGTCTCTAAACGTGAGCTCACCTGTGAGCGCGTCAGAACGAGGCCTCCGCGGTGACAGGACGCATGAACACCACACGTTGTGTAATCTTGCTTTACATGGACTATTCTGTAAAGTGGGATCATGAAACGCAGCAGCTTCTCTCTGAATGTATCATGTTTATTTATCGCCTTTATTCAGCTCCATGTTGTAGCTGAACCATAATTCCACCCTGACCACGGAAGCATTTGGCAGTTTTAAGTCCTTTTCCTCCCCCCTCTCTTAGTGTGCCGTTCTTTCTCTCATCACTCATTTCCTGTGTGGAAGGAGGTTTCTTTCGTATTTGTTTTGGCCCAGGTGTTTTTTTTTTTGCTGAGAACACTGTGAGCTGCTGCGGGTAAAGGAAGAGCCAGACTCTCCTCCCAAGTCCATCCCTGACCCCCCCCCCTCTCGCTCTACCCCATGTGGTACCTACTTTAGGGCTCATTCGTCCATAGAGAGGTTTGGTACCTTTTCATTGCTTGAAATGTTCCGCGCTGCACATTGGTCCTTTTTGTTACCAATGTCAGGACCCGTTGTTCAAATCTCAGGGGAAATACGGTCGCGTGACACGACAAAGCAGCAGGAACAAGTCATCGGGGAACACACATGGGAGCAATGTGTGAGCTGCTGAGGCCCAGAGCCTGGCTGCTGTCCAGTCCCAGGAGGTCTTCGTATGGTTATGACCCCCCACACACTATGCCCACTTTCTCGGTTTTCTTATTGCCGACTGGGATCTTTTTGGGACTAACCGCACTGAGCGCAGCACTGCAACCAACACCTGTTTGCACAGTGAGTGGCTTTTACTGCTGGTTGGAGGCGCTTTATGGACTGCTGATGTAAACTGTTGCCCCAGGCCTCCTGTAATATATCAACACCAGTTTGATACAGAGTAACTAGTAACTTTATGAGGTTAATTCTGGCGTCTGTTCAAAGACGAAAAAAGAGAGATTTTAGATCTCTGCCAATTAGTTTTTGTATTTTTGAAGTTAATGGTGTTTTATGTCTGTTAATTCTGCCGGTTCAACCTGGCTTAGCTTTGTAAATGAAACATGTAACTCCTAATTATCTTTGTCTATGACCAGGAATAGCTTAAGTATTGTGCACACATTCCGTTAAGCTTGAATAGCTTTTTTTATTGAACCCTTTTAGTGCTCAAGTTCGCTACGTCAGCTGTTCGCTGTCACTCGACACTTTAGACTCCTCTTCCTCCTCCGTCTCACAGGGTCTGGGCTGCGACGACTATCTCGGCTCGGGAAAGGTGATGGACGAGTGCGGCGTGTGCGGAGGCTCCAACACCACCTGCAGGCTGATCTCTGGAGTGTTTAAGCACAGCTGGACCAAGGTTGGCTACCACAAGATCGTGGAGATCCCAGAAGGAGCCACCAAGATCAACGTCACGGAAATGGTGAAGAGCAGGAACTACCTAGGTGGGCAGAATAAACCAAAAACCACAGAGTTTCGCGGAGTTTGTGGACACGTTTCAAGTTTCACAAGAGAGAACCCAGTTAAAGGACAGGTCCTTCCTCTGTCTTCTTCCTTCGGTGTTATTGCATCTCACCACCAATAGCTTGGTCGGCCTGCTGCGTCATCGCTTAACTGCGGAGCCACTTGCTCTTTCTACTGACACTCTCCGTATGGCATTTCCAACCTCCCCTGTTCCCCCGAGCTCGGTGTTTCATCTCCTTGTGAGCGATGAGGTCACAGCCTAGAAGCCAGACATCAGTGCTGCGCTTATTTGACATTCAGGCGGTAATCCGTTCCACGTTGAGGGGGCAGAGTGAACTTCATTTGAGGGAAAAGCGTGTCGGTGTGTTAGAATCCTAATATCAGACACTGTGACCCGTTTTCTTCTCCAGTTGCTAAATGTTTTTGAAATGGTCCGTGAGGAACTGGTATTAAATTAAACTATTATTGCTTTCCATCGCAGCTCCAACCACGAGTTTATCCACCACATGGATGTGTCAGATGCAAAGTATGACGCCATTGGGTATAAATACTATCAGTGGCTGCTGAAACATGTATTTGTCTGATTGAAAGTTGAATCTACCAGGGTGGCGGCGGCGGCGTCCAACCAGCGGCTCTCATCGAGCCCTCCGAGGGAAACACACGCCGCAGATAATTGGCGCCTTTATAGGGGGGCGACGTTGAGAACACACTGGTGGGTTATTTTCAGAAGCCACCGCTGGAATGTCAGACTGTTAAACGAGAGCCGAGCCCCGACCCAGCAGGAGGTTTTCGGAACGGCCCCGAATCTCTCCCGCTTTCCTCCCTCCTCCGCGGCGTTTCCCTCCCTCGAGGAAAGTGCATAAACACGCTTTCATTAGAGGATCTCAACCCTCAAGCCTCCCCGTCCTTTTTAATTAAGCTGAGGAATTTCACCACTCTGTAAAAAATAAAAAGAAGGAAGACAGGAAACACTCAGGATTGATTCCCAACTTCTTGGATGCCATCTACTTCCTGCTCTCTTTCATTCCGTTACAAGCAGCAGCTCACACACACATACTTATATGCACCTCCTTCTGCTACATAGCTATATTTTCTCCATAAATGGATATGTACGTTCTAAAATGCAACAGATGGACAGGAATCTAGCTGGGCCGCCCCACCGAATCCTCCCCACCTCCCCAAAAGGTCTCTGTATGCATCTCTAATGTGCTTTTACTTATTCAAACACTCTCTCTGCCCCCCGTCTAATGTTACACCCCCAATGCTTTTCCAACGGCCGCTCGTTCTTAATCCACAAAATCTGTGTAGAACATTTGGGGAGATTTTGTTTCAGGATTTGCATTAAAGACTTGCCAGCACAAACAGATCGTCACGTTTATAAAGTGACAATAAAGAAAGTCGACGTGAGAGCATTTATTCTGTCGGCTTTAATCACTTTGTTTTGGGTGGAGAAAGTCTGTGTTTTTTTTGCAGTCCTCATTGTGCTTTAATGGTCTCACATTACGATCATGAGGAAGTGGTCCCGGTTGTGTCAGTGTTTTCTTGTTGGTCTGAGCTCACGTTCGCCAGTGGTGATTGTGCGGTTGCTGCCTCCGTCTCCTCCAGCTCTCCGCAGCCGATCGGGGCGATTCATCATTAACGGAAACTGGGCCATTGACAGACCAGGCGAGTACGAGGGGGGGGGCGCCATGTTCACCTACCGCCGGCCCAATGAGATCAGAAGCACCGCTGGGGAGTCCTTCGTCGGTGAAGGGCCCACCAATGAGATCCTAGATGTTTATGTAAGTAACAAATCAACCCTGCCGCTCCTCCTCTACTCACGCTCACATGCTTACGTTTACACTCCGAAGCGATGGGTGCTCATCCATGTTCCCCCATCGTGTGTGTCCTTCTGACTGGATCCCCTCTGCTTGGTCCCAGATGATCTTCCAGCAGCCGAACCCTGGTGTTCACTACGAGTACCTTCTCCCCTCGGAGCAGCCAGTCGTCCCCCAGCAACCAAACCACGGAGCAGAAGGTAGATGGCACCCTTTGTTGTTACCATTGCTCAATACATTTTACACGTATAACCAGCCAAGCCGTCATTCGCTCTCATACATGTAATTGTTCACCCGAGTCCCTCTAATGTGCTGCCATGTTTCTAAGTATGTCATGGCTACGTTTAAGGGAACCAGGCTGGTTACGACCATCACAGCAACACTCAACAAGAACGCTTCCATCCGGCAGGTGGCGGGCGGGAACCTCCTCGTCTCCCTGACAACCATGTCCCGGCGGCGCAGCCCGCCACACGGGGCAGAGAGTACAACTGGAGGCCGGGCGGCAGCACTGAGTGTAGCGCCTCCTGTGGCAAAGGTCAGTGCGGCTATTTACATCTGTTGGTTATTCTGACCTTTTCGACTTCAGGTGGCATTTGATAGAACACGTGCCATTTGTTTTTTGAGTTGTAGAAGTTAGTGCTTAAATTAAAGATCTGCTTTGTGCGCCTTTTTTAGGATTCCGACACTCCATCTTCCACTGTGTCTCCCGGCTGAACCAAGGACAGGTGTCAGATGCTTTGTGTGACAGAAGCAGCAGACCGACTCCCCAGGAAGAGGCCTGCAACCTGGAACCCTGCCCGGCCTTGTGAGAGGCGTTTTGGTTCTGCTCACACTGCTAATGGCACCTAATCGGTTTTAACCACTCAAAATGCATAGGAAAAACCTATTCCCATTCATTCATTTGCAATTTCATTTCATCATATACAATTTTGTCAGTTTGTTTTAAAAACCTGCTCTCCACTCAAAATGAAAGTCCCTAAATAGCCCATAAACAGTTGGGGTCCTGATAACCTGGTGACACAAAGCTGTTTTCGTTCTCACCTCGGCAGCTGGGATATTGGAGAGTGGTCGGAATGCAGTAAGACCTGCGGCCTGGGCATGCAGCACCGACAGGTCCTGTGTCGCCAGATCTACGCTAACCGCACCCTCAACGTCCACACGAGCCACTGTCGACACCTGGAGCGGCCCGAAATCAGCAGTACCTGCCAGATGAAGATCTGCAGTGAGTGGCAGACACGCTCCGAGTGGACCGCTGTGAGTGGCAGCGATCAGTCTCCATGTGACCATGTTTTCAGTTATTATCACCGGTTACATTATATTTATTGAATATTCTTGAATATTTCTTATATTCTCATTTTTTGCACTTTTAAACACTTTTGGGGGGAGCCAGATAGAGATCTGGAAGATATTGCACTTGTGCATACAGCAATAAATAGCTTCAAAGTTGCACCTGCAACATTGATTCAAACACAGTTTTAAAATATATAAAGTAACTTACCTCCACAGTACTAACTGGCCTGTCTCTCCACAGTGTTCGGTGCCGTGCGGGCTGGGTCAGAGGTCACGAGAGGTCCGCTGTGTCAGCAACGTGGGCGACTTTGTTCCTGACGACGAGTGCAACATGAATCTGCGGCCCGTCGATGTGGAGAACTGTGACATGGGAACCTGTGCCAAGAGCTGGTTCTACACCGAGTGGAGCAGTAGGGTGCGAGTTCAGAGTGGCTCCCATTCACGTTCATTAACAGCTGGAAGCCATTGTGGAGATCGGTCTTCATGGATTGTTTCCTCCACAGTGCTCGGCTGACTGTGGGATGGGTGCTCGGACGCGAGGAGTCCTCTGCCTGACCAACCAGGTGAGCGGCCTTCCTCTGGAGGGGTGCGGCGGCGAGCGACCCGCCGACGCTCAGGTCTGCAACAACGGCCTCTGTGAGAATCGCATCGAGTGGTTCACGGGCCCCTGGAGCCAGGTATAAGCCAATATATGGGATTTCACTGGCATTCCTTTGCACTGTGTCATTAAATCCACCCGATGTGACCCAGTGCTCTGCGGAGTGCGGCGCAGGCAGCCAGCAGAGGTCAGTGGTGTGTCTGATGAAGTCGGATGGAGGATTCGCCGTCATGCCGCCGTACGAGTGCTCCTCCCTGGATCGGCCCCTCGGCCAGCAGAGCTGCAAATTGAAGGCGTGCGGAGCAAAGTGGTACCACACCGACTGGAGCGCTGTGAGTATGACGCGAAGCCCTCTGGCCTTCAGCTGCTTGGAGGCTTTTACTCAGTTCAAAAACCAATTTGGTAACGTAGAATAAAATGAGCTCACAAACAGAAAGTGAGCCAGTGCGCCAATTCCCCGGCTCTCCTTGAGAACAATGTATCGGCGCTTTCATCAACCCAATGTTGCGTCGTCCTTCCAGTGCTCAAAGGCGTGCGAGCGGGGTTTCCGTGTGCGGGAGGTGCGCTGCCTGTCCGGAGACGCGCAGCCCAGCGAGGACTGCGATGAGCGGCGGAGACCGGCGGGGAGGGAGGACTGCAACCCGGAGCCCTGCCTGCCCAGCATAGGTCAGTGGTCTCCCAAACGCGGGTCGTGCGTTATTCGCCGGAAGTCAGGAACATCGAACCCTTCTTTTTTCATTCCAGACGAGAACTGCCGAGACAAGTACTTCAACTGCAACGTGGTGGTCCAGGCCCGCCTGTGCGTGTACGACTACTACAAGACGACGTGCTGCTCGTCGTGCTCCCGAGGGGCTCACAGACAGTCCGTCCGCCATGGCCGCAGATAGCACCCGCTGACGGGCCGGACTCAATGCCCGTTGCAGGTCCGCGGGACCAGCTGGACCGCGGCTGGAGTGGATGGAAGAGAGAGGAAGGAACATTTGTGTTGGTTCATTGGGAGGCAGCTGTCGGGAGAACGGCTCCACCGGGCGGATGAACAGAGACCCTGAGCGGCGTGAGAGAGATCAGTAGCAAAGCGAGGAGTCTGAGAGAAAAGAACCTATGGATTTCAACCACAGACTCTCATCTGATGAGGTCAGGTGGTTTATATATAGAAAGCATATGTTCTAACACGGTTCTTTGCACTTAGGGTTATATGTGACCTCATCGAACTGAAGACAGTGACTAATAAACACTTTTTCATAAGAATCAAACATAAAAACCCTCCCTGGTGTAGATGTTGTTCTTCATGGATCCACAAGGATTAGTATAGTTTGTGGCCCATTTGTTTTCATGCCTGCAGTCAGAGACGTGAATGCAGCTGTTGTAATATATGTATGTATATATGTACGTATGACAGAATGAATGATTCAAATGTGTTTTTTTTTATGCGTTCATAAACAACTGAAGAGAAAAGGCCCCCTTTATTTATTCCAGTGGCTTCCCAGTGAGGTTGCTGGTTTATCGGCCACCGGGGGCCCCTTGGGTGCGGGGATAAAACCTTTGCTGCTTCTCCACCAATCACAGCCTCTGAGCTCCATGTAGGCGTCCCACAGCCTGCTGGATGGTAGAAGCAGATGGACCCCAAGAGGAAAGACAAGATGTGTGTATGATATATATATAATTACCATTGATCTAGTATGGCATATGTAATGTTAACATTAATAGTAAATCTATTATTTATAAACCTTACTGCCCCTTTTTTCAGCTTCATACACAACCTGCACACAGGACCTATCAAGTGTTTGACTGTTTTGGTTTTTTATATGTTATCGTTTGCCCAATGCACTATAAACTTACCTCTGATTCATACGTTGTATAAATGCATCAATGTTTAAGTTCAAGATGACTCACGTATGCCAGTTATTCGGTCTCTAAGGGTTTGTTGGGCCAGCATGGTTCATTATTTTCCTAAAAGAAATAAGTGTTTAAATGAATTACAAGAATGATTCAGTATTCAACATACGTCTCCCTCCAATAAACAACTGTATTGGCTTTATTTGACCCCCCGAGGGCTCAACCATTGATTCCAATGAGGAGCGTTCTTGAGATCTTTGTGAAATAAACTAAATGACACATTTTTTAAAAACTACACAGCATTATTCTCCCATTTGATTCCTGAGTAGATTCAGGCAAACGTCTCATGGAGGAACAGACAGGGATGTTTCATCCAAGTCATCCATCTAGAGGACGAAGGCGATATTACAACTAGATCTACAGGAGTTCTTCCAGCTCATGATCATTCATTCTCAAGTAAAGAAATGTCACAAAATGATATTCTGCCAGAGGACAAATGTTCTACAAGGGTCCGGTTCAGTCATTTTATGACATGATACTGAATGGTGTCCATTTTTGTATTTTTTTAATTAAGAATTGAAGCACCGAATTTTAAACTATGCTTTAAACTATTAAATTAGTTCTAATCATTCCTTTGTTAAACCTAAGTGTTTCATCACTTTGCCTTTACTTTGCCTTTTTATGAGAAACCAAGATACCCGCGACGACCAGGTGTTAATTTCCAATCCCTTAATTTGAACATGAAAGTAGCTCGTCTCCATTGATCACTGAGCCTCAGGCAGGTCTCATCACACATGACCTTTAATACAAAAGGTCAAAGCATGATTTGCACCAACGTCTCTAAATGACGTTGCCATCTGAAGGTTGTGTGATTATGTAAAACAGAGCACGGCGGGTGGAAGGAGAGCTGGAACAGACTGCAGAAGGGTTTGAAGGATTTCAACACTAATTAGATGGAGAATATTAACTGCCCTCTTCCTGACTGCAAGCTTTTTAAGAATTTATTCAGGACTCATTCTTTAATCATCACACGGTCAGGCTCATCACACACTCTGTGTTTGAGTGTTCGTCTCAGCGGGGTGTGAGTGGTTAGTTAGAGCGCTGACGGGCAGGCGCCACCTGACCATCAGTGAGCGACTGGCTGAATGTAGTGTTATAGTGCTTTGACAAAAGAGACATACAATGTATGTGTCTTCTAAATCAAATTATATATATTTTTAGTTTATACTTAAAATTGGTAGAAATAACGAAAAAGTATTATCACTATAGTGTCTTTTTTCAACCAACTATTCTATTACCTCTTTAATTACCTCTTGTTTTTGTTCAGCATTCCATGACCTTTTTATAAAAACAATATTGATATACCTGATATCCAGTATGTGGCTTTTTTTAGGATTTACTCATTACTATAGTCTCACTTTTCCCGAAATACTATCCAATAGCTGCCAACACAACTCACGATGCTCGCTGCATTCTGAGCGCACGATGAGTCCTTGTCAACGCTTGTGGAGTACAAAGATGGCTGCTGACTGCAGCAGTGCTGCAGGAGACCTGTTTCCACACGAGCGAGTGATACACATTGAATCTCTGCCGGCCGGGTGACCCGCTTTTTATCTCTTCAAGTGCATGTGAGCGCTGTGCCGCTTTCTGCATTCACTCACGTGTCGCTGGCAGCTTCTCGTGGCACGAAGACAACAGCCATTAACTTTGTGTCATAAAGAGCCACAAGAATGCCGATGGAGGTCATTTGTTGTGTGTCCTCCATGAGCAGCAGTGTCACTATCACAGCCCTGATTAAGAAACTTCACTCCAGAGAGCTCATTGGTCACGTCACCTCCTCCACTGTCCTGCTCATACATGTACCAGATCATGCTAACTGCCCCATGGACTGAAGCTGCAACTAAGCAGAGAGCAGACAAGTGTCACAAGGTTTAAAAACAATTTAAGATTTAGCATTACCATGCTAAATAAAACACTATCTCCCTGTATCTCCCTGTCCACAGTTTATTGCAGTTTCCTACATTTCCGTGGTCTATCAGTGTTAATAATTGTATCAATCCACAGAATTGACAAAAATTAAGTAAATTTAGCACTCAGATACGCCGTCGTCTTTGAGATAAAAGGAAAAGACTTCACGGTTTTCAAATGAGTCTTTAAATAAAGCCCAATGTACCGATGCCAGCGATGATATGCCGCACCAGTTCTCGATCCATATACCAATGTCCCGCTAACTAGTCTTCTTCACAACCTGTGATGCCGTAAATGTATTATTTTTTTCTATAGTTTTTTGAAAAGTAGCATCTAGATCTATTTATCTATATGCGGCATACAACTCAGTGTTAATGGTATGAATGTCAATTCTAATGATTGCCAAGTGTGCAGGGATGTTTGTGACTGTATGTAGTTATATGTATGTATGTGCATTTAATATTAAATATTATTCATTTCATACCCTACGAAAACAGATCAGAGGGAAACAAATAGATATAAATGTATTCATCTAAGAGGTAAACAATGAACGGTTGAATAAGTGGTATATGCCAATGTGCATGACATCTACATGTGGATCAGAAAGCGGCACCGGCGTGCATGTCCGGTTATGGACTTCAGCTCTCAAGTGGCACCTGCCTTGAGGAAACGGTACATGCCATTTGAACAGCGGCATGGCACTCCTGTTCCAACGACATGCACCGCTACACAGCGGCATATCACTGCTGACATTGGTACATGCCGCTGAGTCACAGTGGCATGTACCACCTGCCACTTTTCAACCCCCAGCCTCACTCCCTGAGGCCTGGACAAAAAATACCATGAAAAAAAAAAACATTGGACAATCCTTCAAAGGGGGACACCTCTTATGTGGGAGTTTGAGGTGATATTGTGTCACTGAATATATATGTATTTTAAATATTTTGTCAACCAAAATGTCGTCACATCATATCTCTTTTTCTCAACTTCTGCAACAAACTGAGTAAAGATACTAAGATTTACTATGATTTTTTTAACATACTCAACAGTGACATCTTGAATTTGTTTTGACATACCAAACTTTTTTTTTGACATGCTCCTCTATGAACTTTTTATCACTAAAAATAAACACTTTTGCACACATCATAAAATTAAAAAGTTTATTAAAATGAATTTCCTATTCCTGCGAAATGTTAACAATGTGCAACATACGAATATAGTTCATTTTCGTATGTGTTTTTCCATGAGACATGATTACTACAAATACTGATTTGTGTTCCGTTTTACCGTCGTTGATCTGCGGTAAGCAATGACGTCGCACACCTTCATAGTGAGACGTCATTCACAACTTGTCACTGGTGACGACGGGGCTGAAGGCTTTTCCAGGATCGGCCATGAAAGCCTCAATCTCCTCCACAGTGCGAGGGACGCAGGTAAGCAGCTCGATGCCATCAGCTGTCACGGCGATGTCATCTTCAATGCGAACCTGCCGGAGGCGGTGACACAGACGTCAGTCGAACATTGAGGAATTAAAGGAGGAGACAATTCAATTCGATACGCACTCCTGCATAATTGGAGCAGTTCGGTTTGCAGATCTTCGACATTAAGTTGATGATTGAAGATTTCATTAATATTAATGAAATAATATTCATCTTTTTGGCTCCATGTGAATTTCAATTCATACATGGAACCTTAAGATCACTTTTCAGTTCACAAAATAGTCTTTGCAAAGAACTTTCAGGTTCCAAAATGACTTCAGGATTGATTACTAAATTGTGTGACCACCAAAACAATGAAAAGAGAATCTACACTGTGAAGATACAATTCAACAAATTGACAAACCATTTCCATTTCCAAGGCTTCTAATGTTTTTACACAAAGCTTTACGCAACAAACAAAAAGACGAGCTTGCTTAAGCCTCCTTGTGAATCCAATCCAACAAACACAACCAGATAGAGCCGTGAGCACACTGACCCCGCCGAAGCCTCTGAAGCGAGCCAGCACTGCGCTGTTGAGGAAGCAGTTCTGGGCGGGGTTGGCCAGCGCCTGGTCCAGCAGGTGGTTGATGAAGTATATGCCCGGTTCCACGGTGAGGACCATCCTCTCCTGCACCGGACGGCCCATCCGAAGACTCCTCAGGCCAGGCTCGTCGATGCGCTCGACCCCCTGGAGAACAGCACAGTTTATTAAAACCCCGGTAAGACACGCACAAAGTGAGCAGTGAGCTTGTAGTTTCTCCTTTGGGTGAATGACATCACTCACCGTCCACTGCCTAAACCTTCCCAGTCAGACTATGAATAGAAATCAATGGTGACGGATTGTTTCGGTCTGACTGTCTTACTGAAACGAGCCGACAGTGCGCCGCGTGTTTCCGGACTGACTGATGCTTCACTGTGTACACGCCGTCGCCGTCTACCGCCGAATAACCAGCAGTTCCTTGTGCTGCTTCTACCTCCCGTGGATCAACTGCCTTCAGTTGTGCAAAGTGCATAACTCTACAAAATCCTCCACCGCGACCTCGGTGTTCGGAGTTTAAACTGCGTCTTCCCCTCGGCTCCGCTGACCTCCGCCTGAACCTCGGCCTCTCGCTTCTGCACCGAGCGCGCTCTCAATTATTGATGACACATCTATACTGGAGAAACAAGAGTGCGTTTTCCCTTCAACACTAACCGACTGTGGGATGCAATCTGACAATTCACCTCGGGGTATCCTCCCACGTCGTGGACGTCGATGCCCAGCAGGTGTCCCAAGCCGTGGGGCATGAAGACGGAGCCCATGTGGACCTTCAACATGTCCTCCACGCTGCCACTCAGGACGCCCAGTTTCACAAGCTCCTCCAGGTGGATGCGGTCAGCCAGGCGGTGCATGTCGGCCCACCTCACACCTTCAACACAAGCGGCCTTGTCAAGCAGAGACACACGCGTTTCTGTCCCCCGGACTTTAATTTGAAGGTTACTGTGAGGATTTTGTAGCTGGCTAGGAAAGTGTCGATGTAGCACTGAGGCCTCTGTACGACCTACATGAGCACATGAAACCAACGAGGATCATCCATTCATATGAAGCTGTTCTTAATGCTCGTCATCCATCAAACCGGGTCACATTATACACATGGAATCGTGTGGGTTCATCAGGACGTCATTCAGCTCAGAAGAAGCTGAAGCGGTAAAACGAGAGGTTTTCCAAAAGGGACTATTTCATCCCAGAGGATCGGCAAAATCAACACACAGTGAAGGTTCCGTGTAGTAACTTGTTATGCATTTTCACATTATCATGTCTCTGATGATTAGGCATCATTTCAAGTCATTGCACTGAAAAACACAAGCGGAA